ACCACTCACTGTTCTTACTAGAGAGGAAGCTGTACCTGATGACTTGGAAACAAGAAACCCCCTGCTTCATTCCTTCTGGGGATCTGTGTTTTTATACCTCTCAGCAGTCATCAGGGGGCAGCTCTGACATGAGGGAGCAAAGCTATCATCTGCCAAGGTGGCCACCCCCATAGAGAGACACGGTGCAGAACAAGGTATGGTAGGTCAGCAATGTGGAAAATAACAGCTGCAGGAGACCACAGGCCATACTAGTAACTGGTTCTTTTTGGGCACAGCTTTCACAATAGAAAGTTCTTGTATATCCAAATCTTATGTTTTAGTTTTGGATAGAGTAGGGAAGGATTAGAACCCCTGTGAAGTTGTTGTTTGTGTCCCCGCTGGATAGATTCATCCTCTCTAGTTGTCAGTGTGACCATTGACACCAAGACAAAAAGTAGTGGGAAACATCATAATTTACAGATGGTATCAGAAATGTTCCAACAGGGACAGCATTTCTGGTGACTGTCACACTTCGCATTTTACCATCCAAACTACTTTTTCTTCTTCATCCGTGTTGGCTAAACGTGAGAAGAAAAAAAAAAAAGTGTGACTGGTGGAACTGAGTGAACAGCATTGATGGTGCCCACAGCTGTCAGAATACCCCAACAGTGACTGCAGCTGATTGGCTACAATTTTCAGCCTAGGTCCCTCAACAAAAGTTGATTCAAACGGAGTGGTGCCAACAGGGCACACAGCTTAAATTATCAGATGAGTCAGCAGGAGGACATGTGAGCAGTGAAAAAACAATTTCTCTGTAGAGATTTCCTCTTATTTCCTATTGTGTGTCCGAAACAGGAAGTGAGGGTACATTTCCCTAACAGGAGACAAAAAGCAGGAATTAAACTGACAGGGGGGTTTAACTATTCCCTACCAAAAATAAAAATTAGCTATACATATACTTTAAGATAAGGGTAGCAATGGTTGAGGGCACATCGATAGATCATGGAAGACTTAAAGGAGAACCATGGGGTCAGTGTTTTTCCCCATAGTTCTCCTTAGGATAACGGGAGGACACAAACTAGCGTTCGCCCGTTACCCTAAGCTCAGTATACCGCGAGCTACAGCTACGTAGATGACGGGATCCGCCCAGCTGCGTGAGTGACAGCTGGCTCTGCCTATCTAGAGGCAGAGCCAGCTGTACCCGCCCCCTCCCCTGTCCATTCCGCCAGTCAGCGCTGGCAGATCGGAGCGGGGAGAGGGGAATCCAGCCCCATCCCCTGTCACGGCAGAGAGCCGTGACAGGATCGAGAGGCGAGCGAACCCGGTATGTGTTTGCTCACCTCCCGATCTACTGAGCCGACCTGTGACAGCCTCATTGTCACAGGTCGGCTAGAACTATGAGGTGAGTGAAAAGCAATCACCTCATAGTTCTTCTTTAATAAAACCTGCAATCATTTACCTTCTTGTCATCTAATAAAGTCTTGTTCCATGGACTACTGATGGCCATCACTGAGGGTTCCTGTTGCTTTTTGTAGCTCTGTTGGGGAGATGTTTTCCCATGACAGAGTCACTTTAATTGCTCCAACACAGAATCCCACTTTCCAACAACAGTCAATGCTCACTGCTGTAAATTAGTGCTGCCACTAGACCAGAGGTAGGCAAACTACGGCCCTTCAGCTGTGAAGCTACAAATCTAATCATGTATCTGCTTCTGGGAGTCATGTCTGTGGCTAAAGAGCAGGAGATTCCTCCATTAAAGGAGAACTATGAGGTGAGTGCTTTTCACTCACCTCATAGTTCTAAGCCGACCTGTGACAATGAGGCTGTCACAGGTCGGCTCAGTAGATCGGGAGGTGAGAGAACACATACCGGCGTTCGCTCACCTCTCGATCCTGTCACAGCTCTCTGCCGTGACAGGGGAGGGACTGGGTTCCCTCCTCCCCGCTCTGATCCTCCAGCGCTGACTGGCGGAACGGACGGGGAGGGAACGGACGGGGAGGGTAGGGGTCACTCACGCAGTTGGGCGGATCCAGACATAATTGTCGGGATCCGCTTCAGCGTCTCAGTATACCGCAAGCTGTAGTTCACGTTATACTGAGCTTAGGGTGACGGGAGGACGCTGGTTTGTGTCCTCCCGTTACCCTAATGAGAACGATGGGGAAAAGCCCTAACCCCATAGTTCTCCTTTAATGCTCGTAAGCGTTGATGGAGGAATCTGTGATATGTTATTTGTTCTGTCTCCAGGTTGAATGCAAAAGTATGTGTGCATACCTGATTTAAGTTTGAATGGGGTCTTAAACTTTGTTGAAGTGCCACAAGTGTAATTCATCTCTATGCAGTGCAATCTATATCAATGCAACATGGCTGAACTCTTATGTCTTGCAGCATTATGGTGCAAACAGTTGTGTCCTTGCATTCATCTAAGCAGCTCAAAGGACATGGTGTGAACAAGATCAAACCGCCAACACAGATTATGATTTTGAGGTGAGACATTCGATTCATCAGTTACATCCCCATACTACACACCGGGAAATCATTGTAGGGCTGACAGATGGAAGCTGAATGTGATTGTGTATGGGCAGGATTACATCGCTGACTGCCATTGTGCTAGCAGACAGGAGTGACACCGGAAGATCTGACACTGCTCTGCCGTCACGTGGTGTCAGGTATCCCACCGTGTCCTGCCTCTGTGTATTCCCTGCCCAGCCACCCCCCTCCGGTGTCCCATCACTTCCAGCCATACCCTGCCCCCCTGTACAGGAAGCCCCACTCACTCCTTCGTCCACGGTTTGGCGGCCAGGATCTCCTGCTGCTGTTTCTTGTCATATTTGTAGATCTCGTCGATGCTTTGCACCTCCTGCATGTTATTGGAAAGCTCCCAGGTCTTCTGGGCCACATTGCTTCCCGCCGCCATGTTACCGGAGTCGCTGCACAACACTGACTCCGCAGCCTGCGCTGCGCATGCGTCAGGGATAATGCCTTACAGAGGGATAAGCACACTCATAGCACGGGGGGGATTGAACTCTTCTAAAACAGAGTCCACGCATAGCACTCTTAATAATATGTTGGCCATATCAACGCTATGACTGCGCAATGCAGTCTTATGGCCAAATGTAAGGCTGTATAGGTAGCCGATTATAAACAATGATGTGGGAAATGTCCCCTTGTTTATAAAATAGTACAATCCACTGTTCGGCAAGACCCTGGGAACCATAGCTGTTGTATGAACTGCGCCATCTGGTGGCATTGTAGTAGATGACACTTCTTGATAGAAACTCCACTTCTGCAGCCAAATTGGGATAACACCTACTTTATATTTGTCACATATTCCCCTTCACATGGCACAACTTAGAACATCTTTATATTTCTTACATATTCCCATTCACATGGCACAACTTAGAACTGCTTTATATTTGTCACATATTCCCATTCAGATGGCACAACTTAGAACAGCTTTATATTTGTCACATATTCCATTCACATGGCACAACTTAGAACTGCTTTATATTTGTCACATAGTCCCCTTCACATGGCACAACTTAGAACTGCTTTATATTTGTCACATAGTCCCCTTCACATGGCACAACTTAGAACTGCTTTATATTTGTCACATATTCCCATTCACATGGCACAACTTAGAACTGCTTTATATTTGTCACATATTATTCTTTACATGGGATAACTTAGAACTGCTTTAGATTTCTTACATATTATTCTTTACATGGCACAACTTAGAACTGCTTTATATTTCTTACATGTTATTCTTTACATGGCACAACTTAGAACTGCTTTATATTTCTTACATATTATTATTATTAATATTATATAGCACCAACAGTTTGTGTAGTGCTTTACTGCACTGAGGGAGACAATAAAATTAACATTACAATTTCAATACAGGAGGTAGGAGGGCCCTGCTTGTGAGGTAATAACTGTTTGGGATGATTTAATGGAAGAACTGAAAGTAGTTATATCGAGGTGAAATAGGCCTCCATGAAGAGATGAGTTTTCAAGGATCCTATTCACAAGGAATCATTTAAAACTGCTTTATATGTTTTACATATTCCCATTCACATGCCATGGATATTAAGAATCTGCCTTACAGCTCTCTTACCTTTTTACTTGCAGACTTATCTCTGGATAACTCCCCCTTCCCCGGAGTTCTTTAAAGCAGATTTACTTACCTGATCCCTGCTCCTCTGAGGGGAGGGGGCAGCACTCACTCCTTTCCCCTCCACTCCATTGTAGACTGTCCTTCAGTATCCTCACATGTAATGTAGGGAAGAAGAAGAGGCTACAGGAGCTGGTCTTGGAGCCAGCAAGAGAGGGAATCAGGTAAGTAAAACTGCATTAAAGAATCTCCCAAGACAAGAAGTTAACATTTGCAGTGCTGGGGTAGCCCCACTGCAAGGAGAGGCTGGAGGTGGGCTTTAAAAATCTTGCTTAGCTTTCCTATTGTATGTAATGTTAGCGGCATCCCCTCTGCACAATGAGCACTGGGAGACGCTTGTACGGCACTGCCGCCATTCACAGAAAGTCTTGTATTTCTTTCAGTGGATAGAAAATGTTCTGCGATTGGATGAGTTGACGATTGCGATGTCATCACTTAGTTCTACCTCCGGCTACCAGATATGGATTGGATTCATTGAGCCGAGCTAGATCTATTTAATAATCCATAAAAGATTTCTGGAGTTCTGCTTATTTGATACAAGATGGAGAGTTACTGAAAAGTGATACTGTTGTCTGTTGATTGTGACATGCCAGATATTTATCCCTGCAGACTTGTTACTGAAAAGTCCACTTGAATCCCCTGGGTTTGTCAGTGATCTTCTGTGCAGAGTTTGTAGAAGAGGAGGAGATCCAGAGGAGTTCTATGGAAGTCTATATTGGGAACGCTCAGTGATCATCTCCTAAGGTACAGCTACAGACTCTATCTAGCAATATACATGGTGTATGGCGTCCTCCACAGCTTGAGGGCGCTGTGACTCAATTATGGGCAGAGAATCAGCTGGAAGTTGGGGGCGGCGCTTGTCACCATAGAGACGCACAGCTAACGGCTATACAGACAGGAGAGGAGCGGCGGAGTGAGGTAATGGGGGACTCGGTGTAGGTGATGTGTCGTGTTGTGTATTGGGAGGGCTGATGAGACT